CAGAAAAAGAGCATACTTTAACATTATTAACTGGAATTATAGTAACAGTAGCGTGATACCATGCTGGAACACCTTGTCGGCCACTTTTTTCCCATACCGGTACATCATTGACAAGTAATGCTAGTGTACCAATTTGAGTTCCATGCATAAAATACCAGAATGACAAAATAGTGGAGTTGTCGAGATATATACTTGTGTTCATAATTCCATAAGGAATAGTTTCAGGAAGAGAATAAGCCATAAAGCGAGCATAATTGCCATCTTTAATAAAAGAGATTAATAACGGTAATAATACACAGTTAAAGAAGACTTACTTCCAGTTGTATGATCAGCAACGGGACCAGAATTTGCAGTATCAGGTGTGCTACCTGACGCATATACTTTCCAATATGAGTCTAACGTCCAGTTACATTCATCTATCTCAAAATCACATGTAACTGTATAGCATATGGTATAAGAACAATGTTCTATATAGAATAGAAGATCTCATTTTTTTTCCTTTTTTGAAAACAATATTGAAAAACTTACTTAGAAGCAAATATAAGACAATAGTCGCAAGTTTTATATTCATTTTCTTTTGTAAATGACTAAAACAGCACGAACCTCAATGGTGTCATTTTTCCTTATCTTAGTTTCTTACAGGCAAAGATATGAAAAATATATGTGATGAAATTTTTAATATTATCATTTGTTGAATAAATAATCAAAATTCATGACCTTTTGTTAAGTTTTAAAAATCTTTGAATAATTTAAAACGTAAGATAATAACGAACAGAAAAGCAACGTGTTTTATATATTTATAAAAACAATCAATAACAACAAAAAAAGATCTTTTCCTTTTTTTCTTATGCAAAAAATATAATGATGTTAAAATATTAAACTGTTCGTGAATAGATAACAAATACTGTTTCGAATTTTTGTTTTATAATTTGTCATAATAATCATCAAGTGATGGAATACCTTCTTTCAATCCTTTACGTTTACGAATATCATTAATAATTTGTCGAATCTTAGATGAATCATCAAATGGATCTTGATTCATAACTTGCCAATGATCAAAGACACATTGTGGAAAAGCTTGACCACCTGTATTTGAACGAAGATCGGCAGTGAAACCTAATTACAAAAAAATATTTTTAATTATTATATAAATATAAAATCTTACCGAATGATTCATTGACAGGTAAATAAGCTTTAACAATAAACATAGGTGTTCCAGTTACTTGATGTTCTTCAAATACGTGACCACGACGACGATTCAATACACCATAAATACCACCAACGGCGACTTCAGGGCACTAGAAAAACAAAATTCTATTAACTAAAAATATTTTCTTTTGATAACATACTTGAACTTCACAGAGATAGACTGGTTCATAGAGACGTGGTTTAGCTGTAAGCATACCAGCATAAAGAACACGACGAGCTGTTGGAATGATTTGACCACCACCACGATGGATAGCATCAGCGTGTAATGTAACATCATGAATATCAAAACGAACACCACGAACGTTTTCTTCAGCAAGGACACCTTCTTTGGTAGCCCATTGAAAACCAGCAATACAACTGTCTTTAATTTCATTCAAATATTGAACACCTTTAGTACAATCCATAAGAAGATTTGGTCCAGTTCCTTCAGGTCCAAAACACCAAATTTTACGTGCTTCATTTACATCATAATCATATTTTTCATTCAAATAACGAGCACGTGCTTTAAATTCTTGACGTGGTGTTACTTCACCTTTATCAATATCTTCGGCTAAACCATCTGGCATTGGTCGAGCTTTCAAGAAAATACGATTATGTTTGTTTGGTGATTTGGATAAGCACATAATATCGGATTCTTCAGATACAGTTTCACGATAGGATACGACTGGATCGGAAACCTTGATTGGGATACAAGCATGATCTTCTTCAAGATCTTTCAAACAGATTTCCAAATGTAATTCACCGGCACCAGCAACAATATGTTCACCAGATTCTTCAATGATACACTAAAGAAAAGACGTTTTTATATAAATATTCTTTTTAATTGAAATTTTAAACTCACTTGAACCATAGGATCTGATTTAGCTAAACGTTTTAAACCTTCGACTAATTTTGGTAAATCAGCTGGATTTTTT